GTTTTTTATTGCATCAAGTAGTGGTAGGTTAATCTGAACTTTAGATAACGTTTGCATGAAGTCCTTAAATTGCTTGTCTTTTGCTTTTGGCTTCAAACATTCTGGATATGGAATTGGGGCCTCATAAACACGCTCAGAAACTTGTTTTGAAACAGTTTCTGTACCGGACAGATTTTGTTTTTCTGCAGGTTCTGCTGTTGTTTCAGTATTTTCAACATAAATTGTCACTGCTAGCTGATCCTTTTCAGTGCTATCTTTACGGTTATCATAAATTTTTCCACACCATAAAGTCCGAACAACGTTGCAATCTTTACGTCCTCTTGGATTAGGCACTGTTTAACTAGGAAATTTGCCCGTTTCTCTTTCTGAAATCTGTGCAGCTAGCTGTCTAAATTGTTGTTCCAAACTTTTAATTGATGCTTCAACATTTTGAAATCTTTGATTGTTGCCATCTATGAATGATTGAGTTGTTGCTGCTAATTTAGCAAGTTGATCATCCAAAGATGGTTTGGAGGGAACAAATGGTTTTTGTGCACGCTGGAATGGTTTTGCATTTTTTTGATTGTCACCCCATTTGAAATTAGGGTGATCCCTCCATCCAGGATTGTAATGAGTTGCATATGCATCATTCCTAGGCCTTTGATAGTTGTTCAACAAGCTCTGGGTAGGATTCTTTATACGGGCAACCCATGATATCGTGTGTAGCCATGCTACAAATACTGAAAACTGTTGGTATATGTGGTTGATGTTGTGTAAAATTTGCAATTTGTTGTAGAATAATATCAAACTTTGCATCAATTTTCTTCTCCATTTTTTTCCATTTGTGCAAACATGTTAGGGGAACCTGCTGATAACTAAAAAATGCTCATTTTCTGTGAATGTTCTGCTGCCCATTGTTGAGATTCTGTAGCCATCATATCAAATAGTTCAAACGTCTCTCTTGCAGATTTATTTGACAACGATCCTTCAGCTAAGGTATTAACATGGCTCTTACATGTCGGATTAAGCCCGTCAAAGAAAATATTCATTTGTGTATCTGAATCAATATTAGCATGTGGACACTTAATGTACATCTCTGTATATCTTTACCATGCTTCATGAAACTCTTCATTAGGCTTCTGAGTGAATGTCATGATTTCCCCGCTTGTAATTCAATGTCTTGGATGCTGGATAATACTTGTTCAAGAATTTTGTATGTAATTGTTGCCAAGTAGCAATGCTATTTGCCGATAGAGTGAACAACCAAGTTTCCATCTTGTCCTTCAAAGTGAAAGGGAAAAAATGTAACTTAATAGCTTCAGCAGAAAAACCCATAATCAAAATATTTTTGCAACCCACAATAAACAAGTAAAATTGCTCCTTATTCTTTTAAAAACAAGAGTTTACAACATTAAGGACCCATGTTACAGTGCTTGGAATATAAGCGTTCCATAACCTTGTAATCTTGTAATCTTGTATATTAGAAGATTAGTGTTCGAATTTACGAAAGTTGTCATGGTGATTATAACATTGAAGTTCACTTTAATCCATAATATTGTAATAGCCTAATTTACAGTGAAAATGGTCACAACTACATTATTAAGGTATTGTTGGACCTTGAACAAGTAAAATTGTTTTTTTTTCTTATAAAAACAAAGGTTTACAACTTTAAGGACTCATATTACAGTGTTTGGGAATTTACGTAAAATAAATCCTTGTGCATTCGTCTAGAGCACCTTGAACTAGCAAACCAAAAATCAACAATCATATCATAAACACCCCCAAATTCCAACAAGAGAACAACTCAAACGAAGCTAGATACCACAAGCTCATATTGCTCATAAGTATTTTCTTGGGAAAGAGCATGAAGTGAAAGAAAGAGAAAGCATCCCAATGAACATTTAAATAGGACAAAACAAAGTATTTTGTTTGTATTGTCTTATCAGAGAACATTGAGATATCTCGATATAATGAATGTAAAACAATAGGTGTGATATATATTTTAGGAACATTCGTGGACACTGAAGAAAAAAAAAAAAAAAAAAAAAGAAAAAGGTAACTCATCTTAATATGTAGGCTATGAGAGTTAGGCACTAGTAAAACATGATGGTTAAACACGGTTCCGTCTTACACGTTGCATGTGATAGAGAAAATGAGACTAAATTCTTAATTCGATGAAATTTTTTAGATTGTATGACATTATAAATCTCACATTGTGTAAATATTAAGGTTCTCGGATTTCAAGGATGAAGAGTCTCTCAATAATGGCTTCACAGACATCACTAGACAAGTATCCATTTCATTTGTCTAGTGATGTCTGTGAAGCCATTATTGAGTTATGCTTATTCTTCAAGGAGTTGGATGCCAAATGAACGAAATTGGCATCAATACACTACACTTCAAGGAGGATCCAGAACACCAATCTTGGGCGTACAAGGGATCTACACCATTGGTTTGGATTGATCAAGACCAACAAAAGATAGTCATTGCAACCCATCGACGAACATGCTCTCAATCTGGTTAGGATCTAACTTAAGACCAACTAGATTCAACTAAAATGGAGCCTAAACATCAACCCATGAATGGGTCTAGACACTTGCTCAGGATCAAAGTCGATGCTAACCAATTGATTACGAGCACAATGACAAGCCTTACTTGTAGCCATCACACATCATAGGAGTGGTATAAGCTTTCATACTAAATGTATGTACAACAAACATATTTCACTCATCTAGGCCATGTGCATTTATCCCACATTGAAATATGACACAACTATTGCACCTTCTGACCTCTATAAAAGAGATTGATGCCCCTGTTATTGTTGTATTGACACTTGTCCCTTAATATTACTTTTTCAAATTTGGTACTCACCGTGACTAAGGCCACATAGGGTCTTTGTTACACACCACACATGTGTCAGTAGACCTCTAAGTCATTCTTTTGTGCTAGTGATTGGTTTGCTTGCCAAATCCTTGGAGTCATTTAGTCTTAATTGGTAGCTAACGAAAGACCATCATCAACAGTGATAATTATATTTCTACGTAATTCTTTATAATTCCTAATAATGCTATTCACATCCATCCTATTTTTGTTACAATAGTAACATTTTAAGAAACATTATCATAATTTGATTAGGTTTTCAAGTCAAAAGGTATCAATTCACATCCAGTAGTTGAGTTGCTATAAATTTTCTCTTTAATAAGTTGGTTAATACTTTGGTTTTAAAATCATCTAGTGACTCGTAAAGTTGCAAAGGGTTTATCAAAAACCACAAATGCATGTTTAGTACAAATTAAGTTTCTATGGTTTGTTGGGGTTATATATTTTATATATATCAGGAGAGCTTAAGTTGGGATCCCTTAAATAGGCTTAGGACACCCTTGTAGGGCCTACTCCGCATTGTATTTCACTAATCCAAATTGTCTATTTCGTAGATATTCATTCAAATATAATCTCTACAAAAAAATCAATTGAATCCGATGTCATTTGAATACTCAATTAAATTATTGAAATTCTAGTACTTTCTTAAATCAGTGTGTTGATTGATTTTGTAAAACACAATTAGATGTGAAAATGGTTTCGATTTGTATAATTGAATTGAATTAGAATTTTGTAAGCCAAGGGCAAGCAAGTGATACACAATTGTAATTTGTACAAGCAAGCATGACATTGGTGTTCCAGTTAGCTGGCGGCAACATTACCCCCTCCACGAGCTCTTCATTGCCCAACGGACTCACACTCCTTCCTTCTCTCCAAATCTGAGGGACTCAATTGGTTACCAAAAACGAACGAAGCCCATAACCGTATATCAAACTTCAAACTCCCCAATTGCACCAATCACAAACACTCATCAAAACGCGTCGCGCTCTCCAATCAAACCCCAACATTTGCAATTCCAGAGGTCCCAGCCTAGAATCTCTCTCTTTCTCTCTCTCTCTCGTTCCCTCTCACTCTCTCTGTTCGTTTCTTCGGTACGTTTCTGTTTCAGAACCATTGCTCACTTGCTTTTCGATGTGTGATTCTGGTTCAGTTGTCACTGTGATCCGTATAAGTGGATGACTTTTGTAACCAGATCTGCTTAATTGGGCTCATTTTGTTGGTGGGTTTTTGGGATCTGATTGTGGGTTAGATCCGGCTTTGAATTTGATTGATTTTTTTGTTTGTGGTTGATCTGTAATGCTAGCAGGTCTGTCTGTCATTGATTAACAATTTCTTTTTCTGTGTTGATCTTGGTGAAAAAATAGATTGCTCCTTTGAAATGGGCAGCTGGGTTTTGGTAGTTCCATAATTCAGTGAATTGTGGGTCAAAACTGTTTAGAATCTCTCTCTCTCTCTCTCTCTCTCTCTCTCTCTCTCTCTCTCTCGCTAGCAGTTTGCACAAACTGAGAAGGAAATGGCAAAATGTTGATGCACTAGAGAATTTGCTTTCATTATATAATCCGGGCACCAATGCAGGAAGACCCATCTCTGTTTTTCATTCATTGGCTTAACTGCTCGGTAACGTTGAGCTCAAGGAGGGAGCAGTATGTGATTTGAATTGCTGACTCCCAATCTTTATGTGTACGTGTCTTCAGTTTTAATTATTTTTATAAAGATGGGAAACAATATTAGCTAATTCAGATCGACTCTTTATAATTTGGTAGTTTTGTCTGAAGCTCTTTTTATCAGTTTTGGAGTTTCTGTACAAGCAAGATGTTGACTTTTATTTTAGTTGTTTATGAAAAATATGTCTATAAATTTTTTTTAATAAGAAAATATGTCTATAATTGAACTATGGTTTTTATTTTATTTTTGTTATTATTGTTTTTACTGCCACGAATGTTTTGAATTATACTTGGAATTCCAAGAGTCTTAATTTATTGCGGAATTTCAGTTTTCTTATTTGTTTCAGTTGTGTCTTTTTAGAGTATTTTGTTCCTAAATTGGAAACTTCCGGCTTCATCTGAATGTAAATGGATGCCTTTTCGGAGGCTGAGGGTAAAGGCTCTCTACAGTGGCCAGTTGAAAGAAATATATAACAAATGGCTCCCACAAGTAAAGCTGATAAGAAGGCGGCAGATGCAGCCGCATGGATGTTCAATGTTGTAACATCTGTTGGGATCATAATTGTCAATAAAGCTCTAATGGCAACATATGGCTTCAGTTTTGGTAAATCCTGCTTCTTCTGTTTTATTGTTTTGGCTTCAGTTCAGTTGGGATATCAATTTATGCTGCATTTCCCCACCTCCCTGTGTGGTTGTATACCTTTTCTGTTGATTTATTAAACAGAATCTTTTCTTCAGCCAAAAGTGTTTTTTTTAAATAATTCCTGTTGACTCTTTCATGAGGTGTGCCATTTTGCTTTCATTGATTCAGATTTGAGTTAGGGTGTTTCTGATATGAGTTTAGATAAAATATAACCCCATGGGATTAAAGACCCTTCTTGCATCTCTTTTGCAAACTTTTTAAAAATCAGTAAGAAAATGTATATAGGGCATTGCTCCATATGGACTTCAAATTATGATGGTTCTAGATTAAAGGACAAAGATGTTATCATGGCTTTTTTTTTTGTCACGTTAGTAGGTGGCAGGAGTAGAATACAATGAATCCTGCACCTCACATACATATGGTCTACAATCCCCAATTTTTAACTAGAAGTCACTAAGATGAAAGGTATATCCAAATTTGAGGGGGAAGTGACAAAATATACAAAAAAGTCTTGTTACTTCCAGTTTTGCTTTCGTTGATTAAGATTTGAGTTAGGGTGTTTCTGATATGTGTTCAGATAAAATATAACCCCATGGGATTAAAGACCTTTCTTGCATCCCTATTGGAGTTCAAATTATGATGCTTTTAGATTAGAAGAGAGAGATGATATCATGGCTTCTTTTTTTCCGTCATTAGCAGGTGGCAGGAATAGAATACAATGACTCCTGCACCTCACATACATTTGGTATACAATCCCCAACTTTTAACTAGAAATCACTAAGATGAAACTTTTGTATATCCTAATTTCAGGGCAAAACTGACAAAGTATACAAAAAAGTCTTGTTACTTCTGGTTTTGTTGAAAAAGATGCATGTTTTCTGCGTACCATGTCATCAATGCATTCATTTTAAATTAATGAGTTAATCTTTTGAGAACAAAGTGATCAGTCAACCGTCATCACTCATGATAACAGAACGTTGCTTATGACCAAGAGGTAGATAGAAATCTGGGGGGCAATACGGGTTGAATGGTAAGACTAGAAAAGGAAAACATAGCAAACATTGTGCAAGAGAGATAACGACTGCACTATTTGATTTTCTTTTGTGAGAGGTAATAGTATAGTTCTGTTATGAGTTGTGATAGATTTGGGGTTGCTAGACAAAATAGATATGACATCTAAATATAACTTCCAATCTGTAGCTAGATTTAACTTTCAGTGCTAACCTTGAGATCGTAATGGTTGAAGGGAAAGCTTCTATAGCCTTGACCTTTCTGCTTATCAATTGGTTGTTTTTGTGTTTACTTGTTTGTAGGAAAATATGCATCCAGAATATTTATATAGCCATAACGCATGCTATTTATCATTTAGTTTTTTTAAGTTCTAAATAATTGCAATAATTTGCAGCTACAACATTAACTGGTTTGCACTTTGCTACAACAACTTTGATGACGGTTGTTCTAAGGTGGCTGGGATACATTCAACCTTCTCATCTACCAGTCTCTGAGCTTCTGAAATTTATGATCTTTGCTAACTTCTCTATTGTTGGAATGAACGTTAGTCTAATGTGGAACTCAGTGGGATTCTATCAGGTATGGCTAGGGTTTTGATGTATTTGGATTTAGCTACTGAACACTGCAATTTTTTGGGGGTTACATTTTCTCTTATGTAATTGGCAGATCGCAAAGCTGAGTATGATCCCTGTATCATGTTTACTGGAAGTTGTTCTTGACAAGATTCGTTACTCAAGAGACACGAAGTTGAGCATAGGAGTTGTTCTCTTGGGAGTTGGTGTTTGCACTGTCACTGATGTGAGTGTCAATGCCAAGGGCTTCATTGCTGCCTTTATAGCTGTATGGAGCACTTCGCTACAACAGTATGTAAGTTCTCCATTCCCCAACACATCATGCATTGACAGATAGAGATCTGTTGTGATATAAATGTTTCATTTTTCAGCTGAAATGGCTTGGTATTGAATGAAACTTCTGAAAAGGGCAGAGTCATTGTCAATATTTTATGTTATCATGGTTGACAATTGTTGCTCTGGACCAATCCATGTCAAATACAAATAAAATAAAAAAGTAGAACTCATCAATGGATAGCCTCATGTCTGCAGTTTTGTCAAACTCTTCTGAAATTGTTGATAATGTCTTATCTAAAAGTCATGTCAAATCTTTAATTGCAGTATGTGCACTTTCTTCAACGGAAATATTCACTTGGTTCTTTCAGTCTGTTGGGACATACTGCTCCAGCTCAGGCTGGATCTCTTCTGTTACTAGGCCCCTTCCTTGACTATTGGTTGACAAGTAAGAGAGTTGATGCCTATGACTATAACTTTACATCTCTGGTAAGTATAACCCTATTTATTTATGTGTTGTGATTACCATAATCATCTTAAGCTGATTGTGTCAAGACTCGACCTAAGGATTGCAAACATCATTACGAATATACATTTAGACTTTTACATTGTAATGTTGTTAATGATGTGATTACCTAGTCACGCTAGCGACATATACATCAGTATGAACACCAATAAAATTAAGTCCTTATCATACAAGATGAACTGCTGCTGCAACTTAATTTTGTTTGTCTCCATTGGAGTAACTCATTTGTATTATAGTTTTGCTACTTTCATCTTAACATATTATTCAACAGGATATTATTTTAATGTGACATCTATCCAATTCCAAACTGATTAACTTCTTCCTTTCACTTCTAGTTTTATGATCTTTTGATTTAACAGAAAGGTCATTCACAATTCTCGCTGCACTTTTGTGTCTGCAGATGTTTATATTTCTTTCATGCACAATCGCAGTAGGCACCAATCTCAGCCAGTTCATCTGTATTGGAAGATTTACTGCTGTCTCCTTCCAAGTACTTGGACATATGAAGACAATTCTTGTTTTGATCATGGGGTTCTTTTTCTTTGGAAAGGAGGGTCTGAATCTGCATGTTGTTTTGGGAATGATCATAGCTGTTGTTGGGATGATTTGGTATGGCAATGCCTCATCTAAGCCCGGTGGAAAGGAGCGCTGGAGCCACGCTCTCCCTACAAGCAGGCAGCAAAAACACAGTGGTTTTCCTGAATCTACCGAACATGATGGAAAAGTTTAAATTCATTCAGATTAAGTAAAAATGGCTGATTTCAGGAAATTCTTAAATCATTTGAGGCTAGAAAAACCGACATTTCTTCTAATTATTTATCCTCGTTGTAATTTCTATTTGTTGTCAGGTATTCAGTCCCTTTGGGGGAGTGGATGCATCAAAGATAGGGGAAAATTTTCACAAAACTTCCTTTTTTTTTTATCATAATAGTGATTTTTTTTTTTTTTTTTTTTTTTTTTTTTTTGTTTCTTTTGCTTTTGCATTCAAATTGATCTGCCTACAGTGTCTCTGGGCCTTATTATTTTCCTGGTGTAGGCTGCACAACAAATTGATTCCTAGATTATGCTTTTTCTTCCAATGCCTCATTTGGAGTACATGGGCGGATAAGCAGGAGACCCAACGCAGCTTTATTTTATTTAAAACATGCAACTGTAACCAATTTTGCATTTGACCAAAAGATGTCTCTAAACCGTGTAACAGCAAAACAAAAAATATGTATAGAACTCAAAACTCTTGACTCCTCTATGAGTGGAGAAGCACTTGGAGATGTATGTAACGGGAATAGTACTATTTTACTATCCTTTATCAATCACGCTATGTCATTCGTGATAAGTTTTCCACTTGGCATAACGTGATTGGTCGGTTATAGCAAAACAGTGCTATCCCGTTTCATACAAATTTTTCTACTATGACAGACCTTTCTTTTCGCCACTCGAGTGCAGTCATTATCATTGTGATCAAGCAAATACTCAGGTCTCACAACACAATTATAATAAGAAAGGGTCGAAAGGGTAAAAAAAGTTAAGGTTTTTTAGGTTTTAGACATAAAAAAAATTTCACTTTTGGAAAAAGCCAAAGCTTTTTCAAAAAAGACAAAAAAAACCGTTCAACTTTCAAATCAAAGACATGAAAATGTATTGGATTCCTTAGGAAATCTAAAAATAAATAAGGGCATTTTTGTCCATTTTGCTTCTTTTAAAATTTTTCTCTCTCCTTTTGCTTTTTCCAAAATGTCCCAAAAAGTTATCTTCATTTGCCTAAAGAAGTGCAATAAAAAGAGCCACTGGAATTGACAGGTTCGACGAGCAACTCCAAAATCGTTATCCAAAGTCCTCATAATTTGTGTACACAGTACCTGTAAGATCTAGACGTAGGAGTGAGCATCAATTACGTTTATCTTCCCCTAATAGGGAGACATCCAAACCAAGTTTGAAAATAACTAGTAAGTATAATAGTGTGTACACAAAGTTCATCTTAAAACATACAAAAAACTTATACTCAGTTTACAGTAAAACAGGAGACTGAAGGGGGGTGGGTATTGATAGAATCGCATTCCACCTCAAGCCTTATTCCAAGCAATAAGAAGGTCCATTACATCACTTATGTTTTAAAAAGAGAATTACTGTGAGAATCAACTAAACTTTCTTTCCTTAGAAGTTAGAACCAGCACCATTGCTCCCTTCCCCTTCTCCCTCCAGTCCATTATCATCACTAGTCTTCCTTGTGAAGAAAAAGGACAGTACATGCGAATATGCATCGACAATAGTGCTCTCAATGCTAGCAAGGTGAAAGTTGGTAGATGAATTACATGGTGCATCATTTTTTCTTTGAAATTAGATCTTAGGTCTTTATGTTGAGGCATTCGTATGCATCTTGATGATATACGCAAAGGGGACTCGTAATGGCCATTTTGAGTTCTTGGTGATGTCCTTTAACCTCATTAATGCACCATCTACATTTCAAAGTCTCATGAATGATGTACTTCGAGCTTATTTGTGAAAATATATTATGGTATTTTTCAATGAAGGGCTGCCTTCCATCCTAGGGTATTAGGTAAGGTGGAATAAAAACTATGAAATATGAGATCTAATGTGTTAAATGTCAGGGAAAATTTTAAGAAAACAGATGGGGTACAAAGAAGAGACTGATAAAATGAACATAACACATTTCAACTGGTTTGCTGTCCACGCCATCAGATTTTTTAATACGTACTCAAGTCTCAAGTGCATAATTTATTAGTGAATAAGAGGAAACAAAATCAATGCATTAGAAGACTGGTTTAAGATCCAAATTAGGATGACTAGGGTGACAATTAAACCACAATTCTCATTTACACAAATATCCTTCCATGAGGGGCGGTCAGAAAAGAAAATCTTGACAGTATGACTAACACCTTGGACCCAGAAGAACAAATGAATATCTACTAACCTGCAAACTCATCTTTCAAGGCAATAAAGATGCAAGTATCTATTGTGTAAGACAAGTCTCACATGAAAAAGAAAAAAAAATTATACACCTGAAGCTAATCAATTTTATATGGAAATACTACAACCCAATTCTTTGGCGGCAGTATCAAGAAATTTTATAGGCATTCCAGTCGCAAGTCGGCTATGAGCTTCCCATGTCAAGCACTTTTCCACATCAGCTTGCCAGTCAATCACATCTAAGTTAAATACTTGTAGGAAGGACCATGAATACCATTTATTTCCACCGGATTAGGGTTAGGTCTAATTGAACTGGTTTGCAAAATATCACGAAGAACTGATGTGCTCAGAGCACGAACATGTGCACTCGGATGAGAAAGGCATCGGATGGTAGCTGGCAGACGACACTGCATGGATTGGAGCAAATAGATCAAATAACTAATGGTTTTGCATAAACATCATAATGAAATAAGCACTTCTTTCGTTCTTTCGTTCTTTTCTTTTTTTCTTTTCTTTTTTCTTTTTTTTTCATTTTTTTTTGGGTGCAACACTGCGTCTATTTGTTCTCAAATTTCCTAGGATCATACCAAGTGATTGTATGAATCAGCTGGCTATTTTACCTTTAACAGGTTCGAAAGGCCATCTGCGACTGCCAGCCCAGATTCTCCCCACTCGAGCACAGGCTGAATTGCTCTAGCTGTTGCTTCCAGTAGCTGCCCATTTATATAGAGGTTGATGCTTTAATACATTGAAGGTTAAATTGATAACTGATAAGTACTCACTCTATGCTACACAGAAAAAGTGTATGACAAAAAAGAAAGTACGCAAAAAGCATTAGACAAATATAGTGCAAATGAGGATCTAAAATGGATGAGTAACTATATTATGGAAGACAGGATAAGGAGTGAAGATACTGGAAAAAACAAATGTGGAAGCAAATTAGCACCAAGTGACGCTAAACTGTTAAAGAGTTGCAAGATGATCCAGTCATGTGTCATTTGACAATAAACTGTGAAAGAGTTGCAAGATGATCCAGTCATGTGTCATTTGACAATAAACTGTGAAAGAGTTGCAAGATGATGCAGTCGTGTCACATTTGCATGGTATGAAAAAGTGATTCCATTCTAGTTCATGAAGCCTAAAGAGTTGAGGACTGCCCAAAATTGAAACAGATAGAATTGAGCAAAGACATGGTCATCAAAGAAGAAAAAGAGATTAGATGGGATTAAATAGCGGAAGCAATTCACTTGCAAACCCCAATTTCTTGGGATTTAGCTTCGCCACGTTCAGATTATCAAGCTTTTTTCCCTCATTATAGTCTTGAGCCTTCAGCAATCTTATGTCTAGGAAGGTTATTTGAAATTAAAGTATGGAAGATCTCAATGTGAACTGCCTGGTGGTCAAATCAACCTTCAGTTCGGATATGGATGGTGTTCCTTAAGTGGCCAAAAAGAAAAAAAAACATAAAATTTAAAGCTAATATTCAAGTCTTGGCTTTGTGAACAAAAGTCATACGCCACAAACATTAATGCAGTCACATCATACCTCTAGTTGGGGTAAGGTGCAAGCTTCTCCATCAACAAGCATCCCATCAGTGGCACGCAAAAGTAGATCTGAGGCACTTGACAAAATTACCAATGACTCTGGGCTATCATGAATTCTCATCAACTCCACAATCAATTTTACAATCCTCTGGTTGATTCTCCACATCTTCTGACCTTGATCATCATCTTTGGCAATCCAAGGCTGCAATTCCCTCTCCGCCTGACAAGAGTACAAAGTCATGAAACTGACTAAAAAAATGAAGTATTTAAATAACAATAAATCAGAAAGCCATTGATGTGGACAACAGCCAGGAAACAAGCCTTCCAAAATCAAGTGATGAAAAGAATTAACAAAACCATGTTTTTCTACTTGTTACGATGAAACAGGAACAAAATCAGTAGCCAAAGCAAAAGTTATAATGTGGCAATGTAAAAAGTGAGACAAAATTTAGACCTGAAGAACCACTGCAGTGGCTGCTTTTGCTGGTGTTGCTGACACAACATTGCATAATGCATCAACGACCTAACATAGCAAATAATATGGTTAAAAATTACATGTCAAACATTATACATTTTCAATGGAAAATTGGCAAACAATAACTCAAATGAAATATAGCACAAATGTATCTGATGAATTACTGATTCAGAACAGCATATAGAAACACAACCTACTAATAATATTGGAGATGATGATGATGATGACGGTCATGCAAAGAGACACAAGAAATATAAGATTACCTGCCGCCATCCTTGTTGAGCAGAAGTGCTTTCTGCAGAAGGCTGGGTTTCAGGAGCTGCAATTAACTTGTGCCACAACAGTGACACAACTGAGAAACATAGCTCTTGTTTTTCTGTGAGTACTGATCTTAGAAGAACCTGTGCACTGCAATTAAATCCTATATGCCTGTCCATAGTAAGAAAGTTGGCCAAATCTGAAGCATCTAATGGGAAACTTGCAACACCTTTACCAAAGGTATTTCCGGACCCCTCAAATGAATGTGATGCACTCTCAGATTTGTGTTTAGTTTCTGAATGTGCTGAATCCTCACACTGCAAGGCAGATGGCTGCCCTACATTTAAGCATCTACTGTTTCCATCTTGACTTAGTTTTCTGCCTTCAAAACGAACAAAGGAATCCCTCCAAATTGGAACTTGCCTCAAGTGTGCTTCCAATGGTTCAGCCTTGTTAACGATAGATGCAACAGCCTTACTGTGGAAATCAATGAGGTTGTATAATGATGAGGCTCTGGAGCAAATTTCACTGTCCCACTTGCATCGCATCAAGACAGAGAGTGCATGCATGCAAGCTTTTGACCATCTAAATAATTCAGAAACATGAGCTGCAACCATGGCTGCTGCAATTATCTCATTTGAACTGTAACTCCACGAAGTGCCAATGGAAGATGGCTTCAGCAAGAAAAGTGCCTCCAAAATGGTTAGTATTCTGCGTGTGTGACAAACTGCTGAGTCAACACTACTCCGAAACTCATTAGTGCATACATTTTCTTTGGCAGGCTTTGCCACATTTTTTGCATCTTTCGAGCGAGCATGATTAATCCCCTTTGAAATCAAAGGGAACAACTGAAGCTCACATGCAAGAGCACAAACAGCAGCCAGAACATAAGAATCAAATGCTGCTACAGGCCCCTGTTTTTTTGTCTTTTTAGTTCTGTTTCTCTGCTTATCCGACATCTTTTGTGATTCTTCAACGCTCTCATCAGCTGGGTAGCTTTCTTCAACTCTTGCTTTCTTGCTACCATTGGACTGAGCTTCATGACTGACGCATACAGTTAGCACAACAAACAGTAGGCGTGAAGCAAGCTCTACCGAGGCACATGATTCCAAGAATAGTGAATGAACCATTGTACGAAGCTCTGCCACAGCCAGGTTTTTGGAGGTCGAACCTATGCCAAAAAGATACCTTGTTTTCCTGTTTTGCTCTCTTGAGGACTCAGGCGGAAATGTTCTCTGAAGAATCGCTTCAACAGTGGCAACAAATATCTTCATAAGGCATGCCTCAGACGGACTTCCACGAGGAAGATATTCCAAGACCTTAAGGAGGGGTATATACAGATTCCATGATAATATTGGAGGTTGTAATGGAGTGGCGACAATGATCTCAGGAAGGTCAACTGCAGAAGAACTTAAAGGAATGAGGCCATAAGCAGCTTCCCATATGGTACAAATTCGCCATTCAACCTCAGGCCCATGGGCACAGAGCATAGAAGCAATCCCTTGGGCAGTAGCTTCAATTGTTGCTTCGGCCTCAGGAACTTCAATCTGGTCAATAGTGAGGTAGTGTTTAGGTTCATTTAATACTTAATTCTTTTCAAAGCAAAACAAAACTTCAGATCAAAACAAGAGCGGCCAAAACAAACTAGATCAAAGTGCGTTTAGGCATTGGAAAGCATAAAACCCTGAAAATAAAAAATTATTAAAAGGTACCTGCTTCTTGTAGCTTGAAATGTAACCACCCAAAGGCTCATGCTGAACTTCAACTCCATCAACTTGTCTTAGTGGAGGGAAAAGCAATGCAGGCTGTGAGAGTATTCGGAAAAGTAAAGCTGCCGCAGCATCAGCTGCTATACCCGCTCTCATGGACATTGCAGTTCCAATTGCACGCAAGAAATGCAAATGCAACCAGTTCCTAGGAAGCTACATGAATGACAGAGAAAATGTAATTAACAAAATTTCTGTATTCATCAGTTTCAAGAGCTACTGCAAATTAATATATATTTCCACCAAAAGAGGAAGAGAGAGGGGAGAAGATCATCAGAGTAACAAATAAGCTGTCCCTCTATGTCACCTTACCCAATGATGGAAACTTACAGTTATTAGTGTACTGTTGTTCTAGAGCTTGGATATAATTCCATTGATTGTCCATGCACCATGACATGAATTAAAAGATTAAAAGTTGATTACTCTATGGCATTCAACTGCACTATTTACATAACTATACCAACCTGTCTTTTTAAGTATTTGAAAATACAAGATGTTGGAAAATGATACGTCCAAAAAGCTTAAGCTATTAACAAAGGTGCAATTTTCCATGTCATGAACCTATTATCACCAAACTGAAGGAACTAGGCATATGATATATCTGCTTCTGCAGCATGTACCAGTTAACAGGTAGGATGCCTTTCACATCATTACTTTGCAGAAAGTTGAGCACTTCTGGGTATATTATGATGTCAAGAAGCTTCAAAATGGCTGTTTCTTTATCAGAGCTTAAAAAATTTACAAATCAGTCAATTTTAGAAGTTGCAACCATGATGAAGTATGGTCTAAAATGTAAATGGGCTATGATCATCAATGTTCAGAATATTGTTGTAAGAAATATAAGACTATGTTATATGTAAATCAGAATGGAGATGGCTTGATGGAATTACTCTAAGAAGAGACCACTGAAAAATCTTTTTCGATAAGAAAAAGAAAATAGTACCAATTATTCTATCTAATGCTAGTGGAGGTTAGATATAACTGAGAGGAGAAAAGCATTTTGAAAGATATTCCTATAGATCAATGACAGTGTCACGTTTACCAATCTATTTAAGCAGGCCATACATGAGATGCCAAAAAGATGAAGACATCGGTCAAGTTTTATATATATCACCAGGATAGCATCAGAAGATAATTAAATACGTCCAGCTTACCCTTATGCCAGATGCATAATCTTCAGCAGCACGAAGGAGTTCCACAAGCTGTACAGCTGCATCAAGTGCATCAGGAGCCCATGATGGTGGTGCTTCTAGAAGGCCAAGAAGAAGTCTTTGGGTGGCACTTGGAGTAGCAATAGCATAATACCTATTGCATGAAATAACGTAACAAATATTAGCAAAACTCAGGCTGGTACACAGAATGATTCAGATTCTTCCCTTTTTTGGTGGCTCGAGAGACGGACATTCAAGATTTACCTATGAAATAAGCGTGCATATGGCTCAAGAGCAGGTAATCCCGCCACTAGGTGCTCATCCAAAGCTGTTGTTGGAGGAGGAAGTAGAAGTGCAGGGACAGCGACTGCCGTCAAAGTAGCAGTCTCATAGCGAGCAACTTCCTCATCACAAACACTTAATATAACTCCAGCACCGTTAGCAACTGCCCACCTTGGAGTCGATGGCATGAGCTGGGGATGTTTTCCAGATCCACGAGAAGAAGCTAAGAGCGAGGAGAAAATGGAAAACGAAAAAGAAAGTCATTCATAGGGGAATCTTTCATGTTAAATAGAATTTGTAAGGAAATTCTAACAATATTTTCCTTTATATTTGAACTTTAAATATATATATATATATATATATATGTTTCCTCAGCGTGTCAGAACATCTCTAACAAACAATGAGATAAGTTGGTGGTCATAGTGATGGAGGCGGGGGACGAGGAAGGGTAGAAAATATCAAAGAAAACAACAATGACAAAGAAACAAAAACAGCAAAAATTACTAACATTTACAAAAGTATACACAAGCTGGTAAGGTCCTCACATCAGGTGTACAATTGAACCTACAAATTTGCTAGAAGGTAATAATTTTAAAGCAATTGAATATGTTTGTTGAGTCATGTCATGTAGCACAAGATTATATCTAAGTCGCATGAATGTTATACATAAACTGCATGCAGTCTGATTCCATACCACATGTTAATGTTTCCAGACGAAATTTCATATTATGAAAGGCACAAATTGAAATCAATTAAAAAATTACAGCAGTAAGATTACATTCTATACTGGTGAAGGAATATTTAACTAACCAGTTGATGGTGGCTTGAGTTCTCCAGCAGCATATTTTCCCATAACCCCACTACACCTGTTAAAGCATACAAAGGTTTTTTATATTACAGAGAATGAATATGAAAAGCAAAAACAAGATGAAATGATTTCCTACATCAATTTTGTGACAAAGTTTCAAACTACCATTTGATTTCATTTAAATGTTCTTTTTGAAATTATGAACAATCGGTAACATGAAAATGCTGTTGAACTAATGTAAAACTTATCTAACATAAAAAATGTAAAAAGTGGACCACAAGAAAACGCCAACCTCTTTCAGAGCTTAATCGTCTCTAGGTATACCCGTATACTATTCTTTAAAACAGACTTCGCTTTCCTTTTCTCCCATTTTTCCTTTCATTTTAAAAATCAATTTGGATATATTCATCATTTGAGATATTTATTGTATAACAAAAATTTCACTATCATGGAGGGATGAGAACATCCCGTCTCCATGAAAATTGTTTCAAATGTTGAATTGCAAAAGAACTAGTGTTTTCAATAAAAAGCAGGCCGATTGGACGCAAAGAAAAACAACCACCAAACCTGATCCATTTAAACCTTTCCTTGCCGAATTATTGGGAAATAAGACTTTTTAACAGTTGACGTGTTTGAACTTCATTGGTCAATACAGTCATTTGAAAATATAAAATTTATAAATAAATAAAAACTTTTTGAATTGAGTGCTGCCTCTTAATAGGCAAGAAATAAGAACAAACCTCTGTTGTTTACTCTTTTTATTTGTGATTGGAGTGTGTGCCACTTTGCACATATACACGACTTGAAATCAACAACATAATGCTTACGACTTTCAACAAAAATAACGACACAACCTCAATAAAAACGTGCACTCACCAGCGGAAGTAATCACTTCTGATACCTAGAGGTGCAGCAAGCAATATATCAGTAATCCAAGGAGACAAAGGCCTTATAGGTTTCCTCTCTTGTTGTACCAAAGGTATATGGCTGGATTCACCATCAACGGAGTCACTTGTTGTAGCATGGCTACCACTACTGCTTCTTTCTGTTTCACTATTCTGTTGCTCCACCTTGTATATGGGGCGATTGTAATGAGTTAAGATTCGTAAAATCTCCCCACATGCCAGAGCCCACTGCTCAGAATACTCATTCTGTGAGAAGTCGAAAGATACAAATAAGAAAATGTATAAAAATACTTCTGAAATACATACAAAGAACATTAAATTTTATAAATAAATAAACATGGATAGTTTTTAAAGAAAAGAAGACATGTACTTCTGGAGAAATGAAAGTGAGGTGTAAACAAAACAAAAAATAAAACAGATTTTAAATGGCCAGATTAATCTGCTATGGCATCACCTCACTGCTTGGGCAGACCAACGATATGAAAGAAGCAAATGGCGGACTGGTCCTTTCATATGCCAGCGTACCATCAATGATACATGAAATAATTGGAAGGATAACAGCATGCCCATGCTCAGGGTGATGAAGGACAAACATAGCTGGAACAAGTCCAAGTAGAAAAAGCAGTCATTACGCAGCAATGAGAAAACGTCATATGAAACTATCAGGTCTAATCAATCATTTCATAACTAACAAGGGTAAAGTATGAATACCCAGGACATCATCAAAGAGACGCTTCACCTCCGATGGATAACGGTTACGGATCAGCTGTCATCAGGCAATATGTTAGTACAAACATCAAGTATGCAGGATAAGACAAAGCTCATGATATAAACACAGCATACCTCGGCAATGTCCTCAGGAAACTGTTCTGATGTAAACTGACCAAAGTAGTCCACATAGGCAGTAACTTGAGCCTACAGGAGGGGAAAATTAGAAAACGGAAGCATGTCTTTCAGTTCTTGTAGGAAATTGGGCAGAATAGCAACCAAAATTAAATATCTGAACATAGAAAGAAACTGATCGTTTTCAATCACTAACAACTATCAGAAAAGGAACAGCTTGAAAATCCAGATGAACTTTTATCCCTACACCAAAGTTCTTTTAAATAGAAAGTACTTAATGTTGACATGTATAAGTTAGAGCTCATCTATTGTAATTAGCTTATACCTAGGGTTGACTTCATTACTTTCCTACTGTGTAATAGTTGTAGACTAAATATGTTATCATTGTCAGTGAGAAGTATGAATCATGCACTATTAATACCTTTGCCTCCAGAGAAATCTTCACTTAAAGGATGTTGAAAAACAATGGCAGTACGGAAGTTTTGTTATATTCGCAGTTTCTACTAATTGTGCTATCCTATTCTCACTGCTTTTACCCTCTTTCTATTAACTTGTAGATTACAATGTTCTGATAGTAAGAAATGTTAGGTTTAGAAAACTATTCCTGGAATCTCAGGAGGAGTAGCTGTTTCTTTTAATTTATTAAAATGAACTCATTGACAGAGAAAAGAATCAATTGCGTCAAATACTACTACACAGTGCTACAATCAGCAGCACTGCAATTTCAACCTGAGCACATTGTTGCTAATTAAAGGGTGAACTTTGGTCATCAGCCTTGTGAGATTTCTTGGAGGTTTACTTAAAGATCTGGGACTAATTTTTTGTTTAAGCCCCTCTAACATTAGTGAGAATCCTTAAAACTGGTCGCTATTTTCTTGGTCAAATAAAACTGAACTCTTAAGACCATAAAGTTGAGAGCAGAACCAAGAAGGTTATTGAAGTGATGCTAATAGACACGATAAAGTTTGACTACTTCAGAAAGGTTTCAAAGTGTTGTAAACATGAAAAAAGTTCACATTCATTATTCTAAAAGACATAAATGTATTGCAGCACTCATGATAATGTTGAGATATTTCCGGGAAAAGGAAAAGGAGAACAATCTCCTATCTAAACAAAAAGTCAAGAAAAGAAATCAACAGAAAAAGGAGGTTCCTTGGCAAGTTTGGGCTGGATCCTCAATTATTTGAATCTATTACTAGAGAATAATTTTTTTTTCAAAGGATAGGGTTGCATGGCCAGTAAGCTTAGACCCTCCTGATATCACATCATGAACAAAGGGTTATAAAAGATACTTACTCTACTCTTAATGGTACTATTTCTGGGCAAGGACACTGATAGATTATCCCTTTAGGTGAATTAAAATGAATAGATAATAGGTCACAAGAGAGTAGAGAGTGGAGGGCCTTTCATTGCTCTCCGATTTAGGTCACCTATGTAAACAAACTGGAAATACGAGCCCTGGCAAACTACTTTTCCTGACTCTGGCCTCAAATTGAAATACATGAGACTTTATCCAAATTATCAACTATTGGCACACTTGATAGTGGAAGCGTGATAATTACTATGGCATTTCATATGATTTGGTTTAAAGAGTGAGTTAAATTTTGTGTTGTATAACTCCAATTCACTTAAAAGATTCGTCGTTGCAAATCCCATGTATAAGGAATTAGTCTGTTTAAATCTTATATGAAAACAAAAATAGATCCTTAATATACCAGATAGAAAAATCTGTTTACTCAAAGTCACCCATCTCACTAAATCAAACTAAACCAAACTGGATAAGTATTTTCTTGGGTAAATAAAACTGGACTGGATAAGTATTATGAAGAAAATGCAGAGTAGCATTCAATATGGACATGTGTATGTGTTATATTACCCCAAATCTTAATATCCTACAGGGAATAAACAAATAACCGATAACAAAGGATCAGAGGTTTCAAATCCAAGACCTCTAGGAACCAGTGCTCTAGTAGATGACCATTATATTTCAAAAGCTTAAGCTGGTAGGTGATGAATATAGACACATGTCAAGTTATAATATAATTAAGCACAACATTAGGAATCAAAATCGGATTTACCTTCCGTCGCAGGGCATCTTGTGGGGGCGGCCCAAACAACGAGGAGAATTGCAGACGATCAATCCATCTTTCAGATGTAGCAGCCATGGAAAATTTATCTCCCAGCTAACCTTCAACCCAGCACCAATCCACAAACTTTGCAACCACAACACAAATATCACACAAGACAGTCCACAAGCTTTCCCTTGTACCCGCTACCAATCAAGAATCAAAATTTTGTAGTTTAACATCCCAGCATAAAATTACTGCGTCAATCTCCCACAATTAAACAATAAAGCTGGAGCGACCCAGAAAATAATGAAAAAGTTGTAGCCCAACCCTCTGTTAGTCACAACTCCAAGTCTCTGCCTCTGAAGAAAGCTTCACAACTTTAAATTTGTACTGCAATCTGATTGCTGTGAAAGCAGGTAGAATATATGAAATCAGAAATAAGCAGGAGAAATGAAAGAACAGAGAATTAAACACAGAAACTAGAGAACTTTAACAGCCATTATTCACATGAACATGAAATAAAAATTAGGAAAAACAAGCTGAAAGAAACAAAGAAGACCCATGTGGGTAGTTATAAACTAGCACCAAAAAATTGAACTGAACTGATTTCTTCCTTGAAGCTGGTCCATGAATGATAAAAATCAAATCAAATCAAACGGGTGGCTTCAAAATCACATCTTATTTATAAAAATAAAAAGAATGCAAAATCACATCACAAAAATGAGAAAACCAGACTTGTTATTAATAAGAACCCAAAAAACCTTTCCCATAAAAATAAAAAATAAAACTGAAACAAAAATACCTGGTACTTCTCTGAAAGCTTTTTCCTTGAGATGTTTGTGATCCTTCTATGATAAGAAAATGGCACTGTAAAACCAGTTTTTATTTTGTTTTCCCTTTTATCTTTCTAGTTGGAATATTTTTAAGAGGCTGTAGTTTTGGTACACAGAAATAGAGAAGAGAGAGAGAGAGAGAGAGAGAGAGAGAGGAGATCTTTAGAAGGCCTTAGGCTTGCTCTCATAGATTTGAGCATACGTGGCAATGATATTTTCCTCTCACCCAAGAGGCCCAATGTCACGTCATGTCCTCATGCATATGATGCATGTATGCCCATCATACACACATGACATGCATACATACGTACATGGATGTCTTTTCAAGGAATTTAAATATGTCAAAGCTTGTCAATGACGAGGAAAGAGAACTCGTAGGAGAAACTAGGACAAGCACTGAGGCTGCCAACTTTACTTTATTGTCCTCAGCAGCTACAAATATAATTAAAATGGTTAATTTCAGTTTGCCACCTTGCAGTGGTACTCGTAAAGCATATTTGTTCATGCATTTTCAATGTTGTCTGGAATATTTAATCGTTAAAACAGAGATTGTAGAGAGATATATTTGTAGGGTAGTAAACTGAATTTAACCCTATAAAAATGATAATTTATATTTGCCAAAATTAATAATATAGTAATATTTCCACACGCTCAACAAAAGTAAACCCAAAAATTACTGCTATTTTTTCTAAATGTGGAGAACATTTGTTTTGTTTGACTAGAAGGGAAAAAAAAATAAACTTGTAACAGGGATAGTACTAGTTTGCTATTCCCAACCAATAACTTCATGAACTAGAAAAGTTATCCCACATATTATTGTGTTATTGACTAGGAATAGCAAAAGTGTTATCTCCGTTGTATGAGAGTTTCTTTCGACCTGAACGGGAATCATAAAATGAAGGATTGAAGGATAAAAAATTGGTAAATGATACAAGATATTTTTGTGGGCCCTTTGTTTAGTTGGTTGTGGGGCTTGATAAAATGGCATAATCTTCAGCTTCGCTGTTTTGCACAAGCCATCTGGATTATTACCTAATTTTGGCTTTGAATTTGATGGGCAACAGGAATTCCACAAAAACGATGAAGGTGCATGCAATATACTAACAAAAATGAAAGGAAAAAAAGAAGTTAATTATACCTTATCTTATGTAGAAAAAAAAATTAGACATTGCAAATGTAAAATGAAAAATATATAACCTTTGAAATTATTTCATCAATTTTTAATTGGCTTTTTTCGTCTTTTAAATTATTTTTCCAAACGAAGAAAACTTTGGAGTTTTATAGTTCAATTTCTCTCATCATATTAGAACTATAAAGTGAGATTTGTAGTAGGTAGGTCTTTGACAATGAGTGTAGTTTTATTCATGAAATATTCACAACTTCTATGGCATCTAATGCGTGCAATAATATATGTGACAATGATTCAATCACTTCGAGAGTATTATCGTACTTAATTATTTGGAAGTAAAATCTAGTCCATGAATTTCTATAGTTTAGTACTTCATCATCGTGGCACTAGTAATGACACATGTGTTAGTTATCAGGTTAATAATTGCATATACCAACTATTTCCAATATTGACTAATTGCAATCACTAATGAAAAAATACTCATGACAAAGAAAATATTTTCTCAAACCTATACAGTCACGCCATCTAATCGCCCTAGGCAATATAAACACATTACCAAGAGGGAATATTTTACCACTACGGTATGTATAATTCTCGTAAATAGCTATTCTATTTCCAATGACCATGCCTTTTGTCATTAATATAGTCAGTGGTGGATTTAGAAACCCTAACTTTATAGGGGAGTTTGTGAACACTACACCAAAAACAATGCACCTTGTGATATAATGGCATAACTAATATATTTAACACTTTCAATACTAGCTAAAAAATATATAAAACTGAACCCTAACACATGTGATGTGATGATCAATCCACCCCAAATATATCTTTTTCTTTTGCATCACATTCATCTCTCTATTCTTCTGTGTTCTTCTCTCTCTCTCTCTCTCTCTCTCTCTCTCTCTCTCTCTCTCATCCCTAATTTCAGTTTGCCACCTTGCAGTGGTACTCTTAAAGCATATTCATGCATTCTCAATGTTGTCTGGAATATTTAATTGTTAAAACAGGGAGTTTAGAGAGAAATATATTTGTAGGGTAGTAAACTGAATTTAACCCTATAAAAATGATAATTTATACTTGCCAAAATTAATAATATAGTAATATTTCTACATTTTCAACCAAAGTAAACCCAAAAATTACTGCTATTTTTTTTTATAAATGTGGAGAACATTTGTTTTGTTTCGCTCGAAGGAAAAGAAAAAACAAACTTGTAACAGTGGTAGTACTGGTTTGTTATATCCAACCAATAAAATCATGAACTGGAAAAGTTATCCCACATATTATTATATTATTGACCAGGAATAGCAAAAGTGTTATCTCTGTTGTACGAGAGTTTCTCTAGACCCGAACGAGAAGGATAAAATGAAGGATAAAAAATTGGTAAATGCTACAAGATATTTTTGTGGGCCCTTTGTTTAATTGGTTGTGGGGCTTGATAAATTGGCATAATCTTTAGTGTCGGTGTTTTGCACAAGCCATGAGTGCTGCTAAACGAACTCTAAAATTAACTGAGTACACCTTATGATCTAAGTACACCCTGATGTTTTAATCAAAATGCAAAATTAACTAAGTACACCTTATTTAATTATCAAAAATATCTCTAGTACACCTTAATATACTCTATCACACAACACTCTAGTGCCAATCATAAATCAGGTTTAACTTTTAACATGAATTCGTGCCATCTTCAGATTTTGGGTTCGCATCAAAATCTTTAATTTCATAATTTATTGTGGGAGTAGATTTGTTATCTCCTTCAATTCAAAGCTTGATTCTTGTAAATCCTTGTGATTTTCTTTGAAATATGTGGAAGAGACTCAAACATCTCTGTCAAATTACTAGTGAAATGCATCATCACCAATCCGAAATCCGTAAGAATTTTGGATGCTTCCAAGTTAGAAGAAAAGTTTAAACCCAGGGATTTTAAAGTCATCTACTTCAACTTTATTGTATGGATGATGTTGAGCTAAGAAGTCAGACTGGAACAAACTTTTTCATTCAAATACGGTTGCCCATCTTTCGCATCAGGAAGAATCAAGTACATGGAGAAACACCGACACTTGTCTTTCGCCATGTTTGTAAGGAAGCTCTAAGCCTTTGAAGCATCAAAGACCCTTAAAATTATATGAAAACTTCTCTACGTTTGATTAGGATTGAATATGATGAGTATGGTATACTTATTAAAATTATATTTGTTTCACAATTTCATATATCATTTTTGGTCATTTTATATTAGGGTAATTAGTAATTTAATAAATACTTTGGTAGTATGGTGTACTCAGTTAATTTTAGGGTTCGTTTAGTAGCACTCCTGGATTATTACCTAATTTTGGCTTTGAATTTGATGGGCAACAGAAATTTCACAAGAATGATGGAGGTGCATGCAATACACTAACAAAAATGAAAGGAAAAAAAAAAGTTAATTATACCTTATCTTATCTAGAAAAAAAAAATTAGACTTTGAATTTTAATTGGCTTTTTCATCTTTTAAATTATTTTTCCAAACGAAGAAAACTTTGGAGTTTTATAGTTCAATTTCTCTCATCATATTAGAACTATAAAGTGAGATTTGTAGTAGGTCCTTGACAATGAGTGTAGTTTTATTCATGAAATATTCACAACTTCTATGGCATCTAATGCGTGCAATAATATATGCCACAATGATTCGATCGCTTTGAGAGTATTATCATACTTAATTATTTGAAAGTAAAATTTAGTCCATGAATTTCTATAGTTTAGTACTTCATCGTTGTGGCACTAGTAATGACTCATGTGTTAGTTATCAAGTTATTAATTGCATATACCAACTATTTCCAATACTAACTAATTGCAATAAGTAATGAAAAGAATACTTAGAGCATCCATAATGAGCTCCCTAAACCATCTCCTTAGATAAATTTTAGGGATAAATCGTAAAAATACAACTCCAACCATGCTCCCTATCCACCTCCTAAGATAAGGAGTCCTCTAGGAACTCCTAAATCTAAGGAGAGAGAAAAGACTTCTAGTGGCTCTCTATAATTTAATGCTGCTTTATTTAATGCTAATTATTTTTTATTTTATTTTATTTTTAATAGAGATGGACCAATCAAAAAGAGTTATAGAATTTATGACTCTCCAAATTAGGGAGTATG